ACCGCGGTCACTCAGAGCGATCACGGAAGTGTCACCGTTGACGCCCGGGTGGCATTGGATGGTCCGACTCGCAACGAACTGCTAAAGGAGATGTCTGTGTATAAATGGTTCGACATTGCATGGGTGTGCAGTGGTCTCGCTTTACACCTTCTAGCAGCATCTCATCACTGCCCGTGGCAAAGAGACGACATTTCGGACTGTTCTGCCTCGCGCTGGTACCTAACTTCCGTCTTTTATCTACCAGACGTCCTCAATCGGTACCCTGATACCTTTATCGGGTAAGGTTCGTCGGCTTTACAAGTGGATGCTTGATCCCAGGGGCAACATGCTATCACACTGGGATTCGGATCACTTGTCCGCTACTTTTTGTGTAGATCCGATGGCAGTGTGCGATACGATAGCTAGTCGCATAGGCGCTTCTCCGGGTTAATTTGTGGATCATCCAGCTCGTGCGTGGATTGTACAACCCTGGGCGGGCCATCAGCGATGAAGAGGCCGTATCGCAAGGCAATCAAGACTTCCATTTTCCGAGGTCGGCACCGCGAAGGAGAACTACAGCGTGACAAACGCGTGACAGCGAAGCACCATCGGGTCGTATCATGCCGAGTCGATCTGATCGAGTAAACAGAGCTACGTCGGATCAGACCAGAGCAACTTCTCTGCAGGTCACGCAGACAATACATCGTCTTGAGTGTTACAGCTTCACTTTTTGGAATTGGTCTGCAGGGGATCGGTCGTGCCCCGATCCAGAGGGCTCTCCTGGCACGTACGCACCAGCCAGCCACATGTTCTGAAACTGTCCTGTAGCGCAAGTTCATTGAAGTCGTCTACTAGATCTATAGACGTTTTTCGGTGAATTTTTGAGGATGCTGACATGCACGTCTGGGTTTTCGCTTTCCGGCTGCCAGCCTGTCCGCGGACAGCTTGGGCGGCTGTTAAAAGCGTGGCTTACTGCGAACGAGTCAACTGAAGTGGCCCAAGCAAGTGTTCTTGCAGTCGCGAACGAGTTGTGGCGTTTTGTGGTGGCGTCGACAACCCACTCAATCTGGGTCGAACGCCTATGTCCCAGCTCTCGGCACTTCATCGAGAGGCAAGTTTAATCTCATCCGACGTCGTTGTTGTTAGTTGGGCTCACCACTGTCGCGGGTACAATCAAATGGCAACCACAGCGACGCGGTTGCAATGAACACTGGAAAATCGAAATGTGGGTTTAACCCCGGCTCGGGTAGCCTCTGCTGCTCGGTACATGACGATCTCCATCGGGACGTCACTTTTTGGTACGACTTTACGCTTCGTGGAGGAGAACACGGTACAGACCGAAACCCACTGACTCGCGCTTTCCGGGACACCATTCTCGCCTGTCCTAATGGACGAACCTTGCCGCCTAGGGCGTAACAAGTTTCTTACTCAAGCTAAGACCAACTATTCTGTAGACTGCCAGCAATCTGATACTCTAGGTCGGTAGTCGTACCTCAAGATACCTCGCCTACCAAAAAAATGCCGTGTACTCCTTCTGACTTTTTCGCTAATTGTGAGCCCGGAGGGTGAAGCTAATAGTGAGTGTGCGCAAGGTTGGATGCCAAGCTTTGAAATCGTACTTATCTGTGCGTGTCTGTCAGTATGTCTGTGAATAGCGCGGTGAGGTGTACTTTACACGTACCAAGTACGATCTAGCCTGTCCTCACGACATAGGTCGATTCGCATGATGGGTGTTACTCTTTGCCTAGGTCACTATCATGATGCACGCATGTGATTGGCTTAAAACCGATCAAAGGTGAAAATGATCATCTGAGCAACCTTCAGACGCTCATAAGCTCTACAGTCACGGCAGGTCGCGTCATGGGCAGGTCGCGTCATGGGCAGCTCAGTCCATGTTTGCTGCTAAGTCTTCGCCAGAAAATCAGGGTGAAAAAGAATGCGTATGATCAAGTCGAAGCAAGCATCGAACGAGCACAAACTCTATCACCAGCGGCGCAAACGTTTCTTTGTCATCTTTTGCAAATTCGCTTCGTTCGCAACGTGTGTTGAAAATAGTTTTCAGAGTCATTACATGCAGGATCTCGACCGAGCAGTTGTCGTCGCTTTAACAGTGATTAAAAGCCAAAAGCACAACGTTGAGTGAAGTGCTGATCATCTACTATAGCGACTGAAGTAGTAGAACGAGGCATCCTTACTTATCACGTAGGCTATGACCATGACCAGGTAGCGATAAAAGCACGTGACACTGCTATATTTTGAGCCTCACCCGATCGTAGTTGTAAGCCTTCAACACTATGCGTTTGACTGGTGCGAGTAGGTAGCAGCAATCATTGTCCGTGGAGATCGTTTAGTGTGCAATTGTCCGCAAGCTATTCTTTTACCTGATCCTGGTGTATGTGTCGAGCTGAGCGCATATGTGGTATCGATACGTCATGCGATTGGACTTGCAGCTTAAGGATGGTCGAAGAAAATGATAGATGTTGTACTACACCCACAATGCGAATAGTCCAAGAGGCTTATGTGCTTCCTGGCGCAGCTTCATACTGACGCGAGTCACCGAGACGTACGCCTATCAGCAGTATGGTGTTCTGCCTGCATCCACCGTCGTCTACAACAGGATACAGCAAACGAGGCCAATTCGCTTTTGCAGAGAAGCCGTAGCGAAAGGTCCATTCCAAGTGATAGGTAGGTTACATGCATGTACGATTACAAGGTGTGGCGGTCCAATGTTCGAACATTCTTTGGCATGCGAACGCAACTCGGACTAGCAAATGTGTCACGCAACTTTTCGCCTTTATGAGACCTCCTCGAACACAGCGTTGTCTCTATTGTCCGAGAGGGTTGTGCTTATCTTTTGCAGGAACAAAGTTCGAGCTCAGCAGCAAGCATTACTCGCAACGCACCCGAACCCAGTGTACTAAGTAGAGTGAACGTGGATTTCCATGTACTCGGCCGGAAGAATGCAACCAGGTAGGACGAAGGTGGGTTTTGATGTCGTGCATCCGTTCGGCTTCCAAATTGGAACTAAGCTCAATGGAATACAAAGCTCTTCGCATAGTTACAAGGACTGCGTGTCTACATCCCACAGACAGCTAGTGGTAAGCTGATCGTCTTGGCAAGCATTATGGCTGTATGTGGAACGTTGTGCAGGCTGCCTTTGCCACGCGTTGTACCAAACTTGTGCAAATGGCACATTTAATTCCTTCGTCGCTTCCACATCTAAGGAAAACCTCTGTCGAAAGAAGCTTGCAAAGAGGGACAGAGCGGGTAGTTCCGCCGACTAATGCAAACTGGACTGGCTGCATGCCCGCCAAGTATCTTACAACTGCAACAAAGCGCACCGCAAAAGTCGACGGGACTGACGGATGAAGTTCCGTTTATCTTCCGATCGATCTCCACTGTTGTCGCTCCGGAGATCATTCAAAAAATAGCAAAGATCGGTCGATTCATGGCCAGCGTCGCATGTCCAGTCATTCATGTCCTCCCCCTTTTGCCTGTTGGTATCAGAGTCTCACCAGCTTTTAAACGCTTAGTATCTGCATAGAGACGGCACTGGAGCTCGCAGATCCACTGTCTGCTTGAACTTGACGTACACCAAGTTCAACAAATACTGTTCTCGGTGACTGTCCATGTTGAAGAACCGCCGGTAATAACAAGATGTGTGCAGAGTCACGAGAGCGATCTCCCGCAGCGACAACATACATGGGGCATGTCGACATGCTCTTTCAGCATCTGCTTCAGTGCATGGGGCGAAGCACTCCCTGAAAGCGAAGGACAGCTCCGTTGAAGTATAAAATAAATCCACCACAGCAAGACGTCGATGCAGCACATTCTACGAGAGTTCTGCGTAAAAAAGTCGTTCAACGGCTGGTCCTCCCTTGACTAGCCGTACATGTACTAGATACCGCTCACAGCTCGAGCGTGACTGCCACATCGCCCCTTCAGCGTCACCATCACCTGATTCACAGACGTCCGTGGCGAGGGGCGCGATATCGTGTAGTTGCATGATCGAATTGACCATGTTCGAAACGTACTTCAAGCGAGCGCAAAGCTCGCAGTTCCGAGGCTGAAGTCTGCAACAAGTCGAGTCCGTCTCTTTTCGTGCCACTTCTCCGCACACTTAGCGTCGTGACAACTTTTTTGGCCGAGTGAGTTCTGCTCGTGGTCAAATCTTAGACGCACACTGATGCTGTAATTCAACTTGACCCTGACTTTGTTGCCATAGTTTGGGTTCCGAATAGCTGAGTCCGACACCGGACGGGGGGACGAGGCTGTTTGCGGCTACACAATGTGGTTGTCAACAGCTGCGACTTATCACACTGGTACAGCCGTCCGTCCCTGGGATAGGGAAGTAGAGATTTCATGACAGTCTATTAACATTTACCTATGTACAAGATGTCTGAAAACTCTGGAGCCAGGACAAGAGCTCCGGATCCGGTAGCTTGTCGTAGCTGCTTCCTGCGAAGACCACCTCATCCCGCGGTTCGAGAGTGAAGAGGTCAAGACAGGCTTGTAAGAGAGCCCCGGCGACGACTGTGTCGGGACCACGATGTTCGCGTTTCGCTAACGCGCTGAGATGCCGAATCCCCACCTTCCAAAAACGGGTGACGCTGTGAATAACCGTCGTCCGCACACCTTGAAATACTGCGTCGTTTCGTTCACTCCATAAGTGAGTTAAACAGACGCTACACATAATAAACCATATGCGATTCCAAACCATGACCCCTGCTTCCAAGTCGTCTTGTAAATGTTCATGTAGGCGTTGTCGCTGCCTAAGGGATAGGGAAGTAAGTAGAGATCCTTCCGCGAGGGAAAACAACTATACGGTCCAGAGCGGTTGTGAACAGGCAGCATAAATGGTTCAAGCCCTCATCCAGTCAACCGACTCAATCTCAATCTGGAAAAATTCATTCCAACCCAGCTCAAAGCTGCTCGTTCCTCTGGTCATTCACAAACCTGCTCCGTCCTAAGCACCCACCCCCCACAACATTAAACCGACATCCCTCCTCTGTCTATCAACTATGCGTTGGCTCAACATCGTTCAAGCTCTCACTATTGTGCTGCTCTCTACTACGGACATCGTGGCAGCTTCGGGCAACAAACTGTCGACTAGTACCACTGCTACTGATGGACATCGCCAGCTGCGATCGCTCGCCACTACCGACCGTCAAGTCGACGATTTGACGGACGTCTCGGCGACCAACGAAGAACGACTGGAGACACCGATCCTGAGATCTTTGGGAGTCGACCAAACGAACGAGGTGGTATCTCAAGCAGCCCAAACAGCCGACATTCCCCCCGGAACGGAGGTCGTCAGCAAGTACTACGGAAATGGCGTGAAACAGAAAATCGGGCGTTGGTTTCACAAGTTCGTCGGCCAAGGACCGGCGCGGCGACTCCGCAAAGCGTAATGGCATGGACAAGAACAAACACCACTTGCAAGTATACAGAGTGCATACTTACTTGGTCTTAGTGTAGTAGGTAAACTAGTGGCGTTCTGCCATGGCTGAAAGCGATAGTGCATGTATTTGTTTGCGTGAGAGAGAACCCGCGAGTCGCGGTTTGTACGAAACGGCAATGAACCAACCTCGTCCACTTTTCGTATCGTGATTCTCCTTCTGATTGCCTTGCTTCAAATGACGACAGGTGTCCGATCTCTGCTTTACCAGTGTTTCAAAGGTTCTTTGCTCCTGCTCATGTCGGTTTCCCCCTTCACGCTAGGATACAACTGACGTCCAGACGTACTTGCTACTTTGCCATTCCAGACCGTGAAGGCTTGCGAGAATGCGTAGTGAATGAGATGCAGGCGTCTAGTCGGATACTTGCCTTGTGGATGCTAGGGACCGCGTTGCCTCATTGGAGAATCACGCGTTTTTCAGTAGTCGCGGCTGTCGACAGAGGTGCTTTGTTGCATGCTTGCGAACGTGACGCTGGTCGAATAGCTGTAGAAAGGCTTGCGTCGCGCGACCGGCATCTGCTAGCAAGATCTCGACCGTGGGACCACATTCGGTTGCAGTAACTTCTGTTGGCAGTGTCCTGACCGTTTCGGCGCGCCGTTGTGTGGGCGGTTAAACAGGCATGTAGGGCGAGAGCTAGTTTTTTGCTTGCTGTGTATGTGTGCTAAACCTAAGCAGAGCCACTCGATCAAAGCACATGGAATGGTACCACCAAAGTGTGAGGTTGGCTACACACTGAAAATTGCGGCGCACAAACCCGTCGTCGACCCTCAGTGTATTTTACGGGCCTCGTTGAGACACTCCTAAGCAGTAGCGCAACTAGAATGCACGATTTCAATGCACGCAAAAGCTGATTCGGTCTGGTGAATGATGAACCCTTTATGATTCATTTCATCAGCGAAGTAATTGGTAGGAAGCTTCCTGGTTGCCGTTGTACGGGCTGTTGCAGCGCTACGTGGGCTGACATCGAAAGCAAGACAGCAGCCTAGTGAATGGCAGTGGGTCTCGTGCTTGAACGCACGGTACGAACCCGGTACAGCTGTGACCTACTCGACCATGTGTGTGAATAGCAACTTTGTGCTCGATACACTGATGAAGATACAGTGTGAAGCTGCAGCGGTCAGTCACGTTGGGAGGTTTTCAGCTGGACCAACCTCGTGGTTCCCAAAGACAGTACACTTTTCTTTCTTGATGAATTCAGAAGTTTATAAAAAGCAGCAGCATGATACACGGAACGCACTATCATGTATTATGTCGTTTGTCGCTCATGTTGCACAAACATGTCGCTCAAGGGAAACGATGCCACCGTTGTGCTTCGCGCAACCTCCGCTCGTTTCGAGCTGCTCTCTCGTATAAGTTCTCACAAATTGGACCGCGGTATTTGTACAATTCGCATTGCAATAAAACATGAAGATCAAAGCACATTCCGGACTGCAGCTACAGGTACTGGCGCTATATAAAAAGGCACTACAGGCAGCTATGCGTAAGGACGTCGACACGTTGCAATACGTGCGCGAGCGCTTCCGTGAAGATGTACGGGACTAGTGTTGCTAGGCGTCCATTCTGGATTGAGTAGAGGTACTAACACATTGTTGGTGCATTTTGCTTTTTTGTATTCATGTACTTGACACTAAACAAGGTAGTAGCAGTGGACCGAAAGAATTTTGTCCTGATCGAGTACATGTTGCGCAAAGGCGAGCGCGACGTGAAGCAACTGGCCGGAACGAAGTCCGCGCACTTTGCAAAAGTATCGCACCCGAAGTAACCGATACGACCCTCGACGAAGGTTACGCACTCGTGTAAGCTGACGGAAGCTGTCAAGCAAGCCAACACTAACAGACTAAATTCTACACGCAGTTAGAAATGAGCTCCGTCGGATGCATCCCGAAAGAGTGACTTGCCGTTCGTGATCAAAGTAACCTCACGGCGACGGTGCAACGTTATCACTCCATTAAACTTGCTGTAGAAACGTCATTATGTGGCTGACAATCATGATATGTGATACATCTCGCAGCACTCGCATAGTCACTTCAAGCTTTTACCGCAATTCCGATCTTCCCACAGACTTCGTGCCCTAGATCTTTCAATCACGCAATAGACAATCGAAGCAAAGCAGCAACAAAGTTCGCTAATGTCAGCTTTCGCATACGGCATTCTACCACAAACTGTATCCTACACCAACCAATAAAGACATGGAAATGAGGGCACCGTCGTTCTGAGTTATCTCTCGTACAGAGTGCGTCCTACAGACTACTCGTTCATATTGTACTCCTACATCACGATAGAGGCAACAACGTGCTAACCGGTAACAGCCCATTCGTTCGGCTGCGTTCAACCACTCCAGACCCACTTAAGCATTCTCTGCACATTGCTCCGATAGAAACTGCCCGACTGTACTGAAAGCTTCGACTGCTTTGTGCGTAAGAACAGACCAGTACTGGGCGGCAGCGCCACAAGAGTTGCGAACTGCACTTACACTCCACTTCGTCACGGTCTTGACATGCATTTCCGGATCTTCCATCGCACTTTTTGTCAGCGTGCAGAGTTGCAACCAGAATGTAGCGCCTTTCAAGGCAACAACTTGCATCGCCCTTTCGTGTCGAGAGATCGACGGATCGTCGCTGTTCAAAACCCACGCGGGGACAATTGCGTACAGGAGCCCCAGCATTTCTTCCGTCTCTAATAGCTCTGCTCGCAACATTTGAGTCTCAGTAACTGGGATCGGCTCCAGGTTAAACTGGTACTCCGGTTTCCAAGCTTTGCCAGCGATCGAGAAATTCAGCGACAATTTCAGACGCATACGGCGTCCACCTATACTCAATAGGTCCACTTCAACGTCCCCTCTTCGGATCGCCTCCGATCGATCGAGGCTCATCTTCATAATCAACTGTTAGTCAACCATACTGCTACACAAGAAACCTATCATGTACAACTCGTGCGTACCGCAAGGTACTCCATCACAACATCATGGGGAATGCGAGTACTCTTAAGAGCAAAATCATGCACTGACGAGACCGTACATTGCCTGTTCCACCATGAGTATTAGACTGAGCAATCCAGAACGTCCTCGGAGCACGCTTTGCATCCAAACTGTATACCACTGCTGCTTTGTCTTCTGCTGCTCAATCCAGATCGTCTCCGGAGTTACTGAAAAGCGAAACACTGCGTTTCGCTGCGAGCTGAACGTCGTTTTTCCCGTTTTGATCGCCGCAGCCGTTTGCATCGTCATCGCTCGGATGCTGGGACTCGAATTCGAAAATGACCAAGTTTGACTCCAGGCTCATCTTCGGATTACAACGATCTCATCAGGTCAAACACGTCAATGTCATAGCATTGAGCAGGAGAAGAATCCCCGGAAAATTGAAACGGGACGACGCGGTCTAACGTGAATTGAGACGATGCTCGAAGTTGTGTACGTTATGCTGAGCACCACTTCTCATCGTAAATTTCGTAGAAACTAGCCCCAATTTGTACAAGTTAACTTACCGAACGAAACTGAGCTGTGTCGATGACGCCTTCAATGAGGTTCAGTACGATGTAGTGACTCCTTTAGCATCCTCGCGATGATCTCAATGCAACCGTGGCATTAGCTGCAGTATCGATCTTGTATCATTGAATGCAAAACCATGAGTTTTCACATGCAAATCGTGGCAAGACACGTTAAACATGAAGCCTTCGCAAGAAGTTGAGAAAACGCTGCATGTCTATAGCCCTTTTATCGGCACATCTGCCGAAGCAGCAACTGCGTAATCGGTCCAACGGGCAAGAAAAGCTTCGACTACAAGATGACTACTACGAGGCGATACCGTTACAACTTACAAGTAATGGCAAAACGAGCAGCCACGCGAATCCGGAAAACATCCGTGCTATCCACTCTTAACGACAGTCTGACGCTCGGCAGCTCCGAAGCGTACTTGTCCTCCATTTCGCTGTTCAGTTTATTGCTTTGTGTTGAAGCATTTCAGGACCAGCTGAACTCGGCCTCGTTCTCCCAAAATGTCCTCCCTACTATACTATTCATCTATGTCCCCCTTCAGAGCAACAACCGTTCAAGCCTCACCCTGCAGCTCGGCCTTGGGTGCAAGCATCCCAGAACGCTGGTCCTGCGTCGATGCTAGCCTGTCGGGTTGCAACGCTGCCTCTGCATCTAGCTCTTGAAGCTTTTAGACTCTTTGAACATCACCACTACACATGTCACGTTATCTGTTGAGCGCTGATGATAAATTGCATGCTCCACGATTGCCTGCGCTCGATAAAACAATTCAAGTACCAGTCAATCAGTACCACCACATCAATCAACCGCCATAGAAAAACGCAACACACCTCTGCCGCGCGCTGGACATCGCCAAGCTGCTCGATCTTCTGACGCAAAAAGTCGACAGCTTCCTGGTCTTTCATGACGTCGTACAGACCGTCGCTTGCTAACATGAGAAAGTCACAATCATCCGTAAGCTCGGTCACTGTAACCTCGGGCGTGGGAATGACTAGCGGCCCTTTCAGAATGTCGTTCGGATTAATAGGCAATTCCTGTGAGTCGTAATCGCTACGTGGCTTGGAGTCCACGTCTTCTGCTGGCGGCTCGGGTAAATCAAACGTCTTGAACGGTGCATCTCCGAAAGCACGAGAAACGGCAAGCTCGCCCATGATACGACCGTGAATTACAAAACCACCAGTATCACGGATACGCTGTGCTTCGTCCGGCCGACTCGGTTTGTGATCGTTCGAAAGACGTTCAGCCTTACCTGCACGGCTCAAAATCGTCCGGGAATCACCGACATTTGATACAAACATGTACTTGCCTGCAATGAGCACCGTTGTCGCTGTGCTACCAGCCTGAGGACGTTCCGATTCATTCAAAAATTCCTCATCCGTTTTTTCAAAAGCATCTGTAAGTCGCTTTGTGATCATGGACTGCAGTTCCTCCGACGACGTATTGATCAGTGGCTTGAGCTCTGCTTTTTTCATAAAGAACGTTTTAATAATGTTGTGGTGCAGCACTTCACCCAAATATGACGAAGCCTCTCCGCCACCATGTCCATCGTAAACAGCAAAGTAAGACTGCGGATGCAATCCCAAGCGACTTAGTGACTCAATGCACAAGTCCTGAATAATCGTATGCGCGTCTTCCATGTGCTTACGTGCACCCATATCTGCATGAGCACCAAAGTCAAATCTATTCACAGTAAAGCATGTCTGCGCAACCAGCAAATCATCACCAATTTCAAGACGGTACGGTTCCTGATAGCTTCCCACGAGCTTCATAAATGTACCATTCGTCGAGTTCAAGTCGATCAGATAAAACTGATTCGTCAACTCATCAAACCAAATCGCAGCGTGTTTGCGCGAGAGTTCACCGTCTCCCGTGTGGATCTTGTTCTCCGCCGACCTTCCAATACCCGCGCCTTCAGGTCCAATCGTAAACTGCGTCCCCGCCAACTTACCACTCAATGCCGACACTTCCAACGTCTGCGAGGGCTCGTGAAAAGCTGTGACCACAAAGTCCGACTTGCCCACACGAAACGACACATGAGGGTCCAATGGCCACTGCATCCTATCTGCTGCATCTGTGTCACCTCCTGTTTCACACGGACTCAGTCGAACAAACGTGTCACCCACGTGGTCTCCATTGGCCAAATAAAACCGTCCACTAGTGTACAAAATGCGAGCATGATCTTTTGCACCGAGCAACTTATCCGCAGGAATGCTCGCGACATTATCAGCACTGCTACCAATGCCTCCTCCAGCAGTATCAAACACAAAACTCGTCACTGCATCTTCTTCCGAGAACGCCGTCATTTTTAACACCACGTGAGTCCAAATTTGCTCTGCAAAAAGCGAAGGAACGTCGTCGACGTCGACGCCACCACTTGCACACGGCGAAAGCGTGGTCGAAGACCGCACATGTACCGCTTCCGACAACTCCAGAGCCACTTCTGTCGTCGCTGTTTCTGCTACTTCAGCCTGGACTTCACCCGACTCAGTTTCGTGGTCAATTGACTTGGTGTTCAGACCACTTTTGCTCTTGCTGCTACTGCTGTGGCTCTGGCTGGAACTGCTGCTGCGGATGTTTCCAGACACACCGCCCCCACTGGTAGTACTGGAACGAAGGAGGCGGTTCACGCCGGACGTACGCGCACGCACAAAAGACGTGGTCGCTTTTCGCGCGTTCTCCGACTCTAGAGCACGCAATAACAGGACAATCAAACAGTCCAGCAACACCCACACCACCAATCGTTGCAATCATAGCAATAAGACCATCAGTGCAATGTCAACCATGAAAACACACACAACAATACCGACAATAATAGCATAATTATTGCAAGATCAAGAAACCAGAGCGCACAAACAACACCACCATAAAAAACAACAATATCACAATCGACAACAATACCACAATAGACAGCAATACCACAAGAGACAGCAATATCACAATAGACAGCAATATCACAAGAGACAGCATCCTCGTCAGTGCCGCGACCAACGTCCTCCTCCTCCTAGCAAATCAATGGAAATCCATCGATCGACACACGTACGAAGAGGCTCGAGACGTAGCGTGGACGACCGCCGTCGGTCGTGATCGTCGTGTTTCCTCGCGACTGTGACAGGCATTCAACACGATCCACCCAGGAAGACCCGAAAATACCGGTAAGTACCGACCCGCAACAATACCGACACGGTCACCGAAAACGGTACGAGACCTGGCATCTTGAGCGTCTGCACGTCTTGACCCTCGGACATGATGGTGATGATCGACACACGCTGAGAGAGTGCTGGTACCCCCAATAGAGCGCCACGTGCGTGTAAATGGTGCTGCTTAAGGCTCCTGTGTCTCCTTGATTTAGTATGAAGATGTCAGTGGCGACTTGGCTGCAGTCTCTGCCGCCGACGTGTTAGCAAAAACTGCTCTTGTCGGTACGGATGGGGAAATACCGGTACCAACTCAGGTGGAACAGATGACTCTGACAGGGTCTGGCTGTAACGGCGCTCGCAAACGAGACAAGAAAGCGGAGAAACTGTCAGCTTTTATACCACCAAGTGTATACACCTCGCTTTTTGTCACAGGTGGTGTGACGCTGCACAAGAGCTCAAATTATTGTGCACAACTGACAATTCGTTTTCGCTTAGGCTGTGCCTGATTCCATTATACAGGTTCTTGTATACACGCCACTAACTACCTTCCCTCTCCACGAAGCTCGCTCATCGTCTCTCGCGTCATAACAAGCTCTGAACTTATTCACACACACATGCGTCCCCCACTCCGAACGATCATACCGATGATTTCGAAAACCGCTCGCTCATACCACGGACCACACTGATGTCTTAATTACACACTCAAAGAGCAAGTCCTCTAGTACTCACTAAAGCCACTGCTCGCAAAGCTCTTGCCGCCCGCGTCATATCGGCTGTCGTACCTACTGTCAGTAGCGGCAGAATAGCCGCTCTTGCTCGCAGCAAAGCTCGTGTCATACCCGGCCTTGCTCCCATGACTCCTCCTCGCCCCACCATCCGTGGACACGCGGTATTCGGTATACTCCGAGTCCATGAACTGCGTCTTGCCCGTATAGTCACTCGCGGCGGTCGAGCGCGAATTCGCCCCGTCAAAGTGCGACTCGTCCATCCTATTATCCACTACATTACTTGGCCCGGCTCGGTTGTGCACGGCAGAATGCCAGGCGTTCATTGTGTCGCCCATCTCTCGAATCGAGTCGCCTTCATAGTCACTCTCTTCTTCTTCCGAGTGCTCAGTAATGTCACTGTCTCCGCCTCGACCTTGGCGATGGTATCCTGGGTACGCAGCGTCCACTGCAGACGCCGTAGCAGCAGAGTAGGCGCTGTGTTCCCCGTAGAAATCCGACTGCGTCGTGTAGCAAGAGTAGCCGCTGCTTGCCATGCTTTGACCCGTTTGAGCCATAGGCGGCAACGACATTTGCGACTGCGTTAGCGCCGTTGAATGATTAGATGGGAACGCGTCCAGCCCTCGCGCGAGGGTAGGCTGGTGCACTTTGGTAGCAAAGAAGTCGTCGCCGTCGTTGTACTCGGACGGAGTCATGTTGTTGTTCTTGTGGTAGTCGGCCGTCGCTGTTAAGGACGACTGCGCCATTGGACCTCCTAGGTTTAAGTCGTGGTGGTGGGCGGGGCGAAGCACCGGGTCGTCCTCGTCTTCGTCCTTGTTCACCGTCTTGATGTACACAAAGACGGCGACGAGCACGACCAGTGCGATAGCCCCTGCCATCATTAACCCGAGCACGAGAGTGTTTGACATGCCACTCGTGTCCGCCGATGATGTGTCTGCCAACACGGCGGTTGACGAAGATGGCGGAGATGAAGGGGTTTGCTGTGAGGAGGCTGGTGGTGGTTCCGGTAGCGCGCTCCGTGCCTCTTGGATCGCATCCGTAGTCAACGATCCGGACGGAACGACGTCTTTAGTTGACTCGGGTGGCTCTGAGATAGTGACGCCTTTCTTGGTCGAATTCGACGCCAATTTAGACGCGCCCGGGTCCTCCGGGTCGTCCGGTTCCTCTTCTTCTTCTTCTTCTCCTCCTTCTTCCTCCTTCTCCTCTCCTTTAGATCCGGAGGACGACGAGCTCTTCTTGACTCCTGCCTTGGCTGATTTTGAAGCAGCAGGAGAGTCTGGCGGCGACACCACATCCGGTTGCGATTCCAATGTCGCGTCCATCGGTTCGGGTGTTAGCGGTGTCGTTGACGTCCTGATCTTCGTCAAGTCCTCGTCATCCGACTGCTTTGTGTCTTCGTCTGCTGTTTGAATGCCGTTCGGTATGGGTGCCTTCTGCGAGAAGCTCGGCGACTTGGTGAACGCCACGAGCTTCTTCTTCTTCGGAGTAGGAGTCGAACCGGACCCAGATCCGGAAGGAGACGGAGCTTTCGGGTCCGTCTTGACCTTTGCGTTCGTCGTTGTTCCTGCCTCCAACAGGCTGCTGTTCAAATCCAGGTTCTTCTTGGACGTCGTGGGCGTCAACCCGTCCTTGTCATCCTGTGTTGAAGGCGGTTCCGACGCACTCGAGTCGTCATCCGGAGGTCCCAACGGGTCTCGTCGACGAGAGACTTTGTCACTAACCTCCAGCTTTGGAGCTGAGGTCAACCTACCTGACCCATCACCGACCGCAGTGTCTGTATGTGGAAACCAGGCGCGAGTCGACGTCTTCGCACCGGATGCCGGAAGTTCCTCGGGTGACTTTTTACCCGAGCCTGGCGACGGGGTTTTGGCGTCGTCCAGGTCACTCTGCATCGTGAACACCTGTGCGGTTGCCACGGCGCTTCCGAGCACAGCCGTCACAAACGCAAGCTTGAGCCAGCGTCGCAGCACGCCCTGCACCATTGTCCTGCCTACAGCTTTTCAACTACTTGCCTAGTGCTGTGCTTCAGGTCAAGTCAAGGTCAAGTTGAACGCCCGAGTGTGTCCGTTCAAGAGTAAAGGGTCTCGAAGGGGATGGACGACCACTGTCGCTGTCGAAGCACTTGTGGAGCGAGAGCAACAGGAACTGACTGTGTAATCGTGCGGATAGGCAAGACCTCGAGAGAGAGAGAGTGGAGAGTCAGCTGCCGAGCAGGACCGAACGGCGGGGCAACGGATGGTCGATGCCATGCACACGTTTCGCACGACGTGTGACTCACTTTTGCACGCGCGTGATCGTTGAATGTAATCGACCCACGACCAGCTGGGGAGCGAGCGATAGCCCACTACGAGCGCCGTGTTCGTTGCGGCCAAAGGAACGAGGCAAGGCGACGATTTGCACCGCTTCTGGACGAGGGCGGAACACACATTTGCGCACGGCTATCGATCGGTCGATGAGAGAGAGACTTGATTGGCGTCTCCAACGATCGCGTCAATAGGCGATAACCGGTCAGAGGTCCTGATCCCGTTGTTCGGATGTCCGGGACTTCTGCCCGAATGTCGTCCGTGGGATGGAAGCGAGAGCTCTGCTCAAGTGAGACGACGACGACCTGAGCAACCACACGCTATTGTAACATACCGACAACGGCTGGTGATATCGTATGAGCTCGTTGCACCATTTGGTTCTCAAGCGAATTCGACAGACACGATGGGCGTTGACCCGGCGTATGGAAGTACAGGAGCTCCTCTGGTTGTTTGTCACCTTCCGGATGACTTTGGGTCTCGACAGCAGGGCAGTTGGTACTTGACGAAGCAGAAGATTAGGTAGGGATTGCTAGCCACAAACCGGTCGAGTGCGTTCCGAGATTTGAACCTTTCAAGTCGGCCGCGGTGTCGTTGTCACACGTCTTTCCAGCGACTTGATTACCGGATTTCGTGCGAGAAGAAGCAAGTACAATGCAACTGGTAGATGCCGACGACTGGAAGCCCGCCACAACGGGCTGCGTTAGAGAAGGAGTCGTAACGGGGTCGGCCTTCGTTCTTCTAAGAGGTTGAGCAGACGGCGGCCGACTGCCGGATGCTTCGACCGAGCTAGGAAGAAAGGGGCACAGTAGTTGCAGGGCCTGAAGAGCCGTCACATAACGGGACAAGCCTCGCATCTTCTTACTAAAGAGGACCTGCTTTAGCGAAGCGGGCTTCCTGCAACTCGTAGAGGTGCCATCGACACGTCTCACTATCTCTGAGTCTAAAACGCAGAAGTAGACACGGCACGTGTTCCAATGATGGCGTCCCTTGACGTTTTCTGACTCAGTTGTGAAGAGGTTGTACAGCGAAAGAGCCGCAAGAAGCGGCCACTGAGCCACGAACGATTTCTATCTGCATACACTGAAGGAAGGTGGCGTGGACAAACCATACATTCGGTAACGAGCGCCAACTGGAATTCACGCTTACCTCTATCGCGCTGTCAATCAGAGCGAAAAGAACGAGTCTGTAGCTGTAACAGATTCCTTGGCCAGTCGCTACTTTACAGCATCAATATCGACTACAACCGTTGTCCTGCTGTGAAGCTATTTACATGCAAGCGCGTGAACGTATGCATGATCTCGGACTCTATCGACGAACGGGTCAGTTCGTGGATGCAGACTACAGTTCTGTCTTCCATCGTGCCGGTTGTTCGACTTGATAGCCACCGAGCAGCTCAACCAGAGACTTGCTGAAAACTACCTTGTACTTCAACGAGGCCTGGACTCTCATCTATGCGGCGGCCTTTTCCGCAAGTGGCTCGATAGTGATGCTCACTCCGTTGGTTCTCTCTCCAGCATTTTACCTTTGATCCGTTACCTACGTCGTGAGGATGTACCGTCCTGACGATGCCCTGACTAGAACTCGATGATTGCGGCTGGCTGAGGAGGCTATCCCCCAGTGTTGACAGACGTTGTAGCTCGTCCAGTTGACGGTCGTGAAACGATCCCGCGATTTCGACGGCAACAGTAAGCATCTAGTAGATACCTCTGTCGTACTTGGTACGTTGCTAGTGCATCAAGTCAGTCAATTGTTGCTCGTGCATGCTTAAGCTACTTGTTTTGCATGGCCACGAACGATGCCGTTCAGTAGGAAGCAAAGGAGAAGCGACCAAGTCTCACCATTTCCTGTCGCCTTCCGTGTCAACCGCCACATTGCCTAGCACGAAGAAGGACAAATCGTTGATGGCAGCCGTCATCATCCGGTAAAGATTACTGAGAGCGCCCTATGCGCATGCAACAACATGGCTCCGGCTGCACAGCTCGCTGATTCTTTCTCGAGTAGGGGCTATGCCCGAGCAATGCGCGAACGCGCGTGAGGACGTACTGATTGAAAGCCATCCTGTATGCCTCTGCGCTTGAGTGTCCCTATCGACATTACTTTACAAACCCCCATTAAAATGGTTTTCGCTTCGTACTCGAGTCTAGAGACGTCTGCTTCGTACAAACAGCACGTCAGTTATATTATGCTCGGCTTTGTCGATGAAGGTAATGGCCTTTGCTACATGCTAGTGCTGCGACCGCCGTCGTTGCGGTGCTGAAGGACGGCGAGGAGACTCGGTACGACATTTGTCGCAGTTGTAAACAACTCGTGATCGGCTTTACGAGGGCGCTAATAAAGGACCGAGCACGCTGCATGCAGACGCAGGTGAAGCGACGCTACTTTAAATGTTGCTGCTGTGGACGCAGGCCATGGCAATTGATAATTGATTGCGATCTGGTGAGGTGCGAAGCTGGAAGGGTTGGTGCAAGTGGTGAGTGGGGAAGGAAATGGAGCTTCAAATGTGAGGACGAGGAGGACTGGGAGATGTCGAGCCACTTGATTCGAAACGCACCAGGATCTCTGTGAGCTATGTGTCAGGCTTGTCCAAGCTTGTTAGCATACAGCAACTCGGCAAAGAAGGTTATGTGAGAAGCTGTCAAAGAGGATCGACTTTATCATATGCAGGTGCGTATCTCTCACCACACGAAGTCGAGCGAAGGTCTGCTCAAACCATGTAAGCATGTGGTTTACGAAGTGATTCCAGTCAAGCAGCGTCAAGGGGCTGTTCAAAAGAGCGGTTATTTGATACATGAGCAAGGATCGGCAATGACATCGAGGCTTATCTTTCTTCACCACTCCTTTGGTCTGGAAACCTTCGTGTCCGTCACGACCTATGGTGCTCGCATCACCACTCTATCGTCTACTCGAGCAACGATTCATCTATTTCTCTAGTGCATTGTTCGTATGCCAAAGAGACTCTAATGCATAGCCGACTGGTAAGACAACTCATTCTCGAGCTCCTGAGGATTTCCTCTTACGCACAAGAAGTGACAGCAACTTGTTTGAAGTCGGATCGCCAAAAGGTTCCACTAGGTGAGACCGCGGCTCGCTTTGCGTCTCACTCAACTGCAAGATTAGATGCACCGCATGTCCGTGTTCGATGCTATCCGTTCATAAGCTGAAGCCTTCCTATCCACTATCCACATGTAACTACCAATTCGAAGTCTGTACGAACATTGAAGAGGTAAAGAGGCCGTAGCTTTGCGTTCTGATGCTTTCGTCACCCTTACCTATTGCTCAGCGCCGTCTGCTAGATCGATTGAAACCTAGTGTCGTCCATGCGATCATTCGTGCTCCTACGCTGTATCTGTTGTGATTCAAACGTGCCGTGTCATCAGTGTGAACTGTGATTGTGTCAGAACACTTCCTTATGCATCGCTCAACTCGAGGCAGGCACATAAGGGCGCGACAGCTTGACTGCATCCCTACACCACCTGTATTTCTACCGCCATTCGTACAAAGCCAGCACAAAACTTGAGCATTGTGGCAATTGTGCCCGCCGACGAGGTTGCAATACGCCTATGAACGGCTTTGCATGATCGGTCATGATCACGACTCATAGACTGCAGTCATGCGGACGAGACTTGGCAGTCGAGTTTGTAGAAGAAATAATTCCCAGCAGTGCTGGAATCTAGCATACTGACGACACTGGCCGTGTGCATTTAACTTTGTGTTCATTCAATGGAGTGCATAAGCAAAGGGGCTTCCTGTTGCAACACCACGACAGGCACATAGGTTGAGAGAGAGATTTCATGACCGTCTATTAACATTTACCTATGTACAAGATGTCTGAAAACTCTGGAGCCAGGACAAGAGCTCCGGATCCGGTAGCTTGTCGTAGCTGCTTCCTGCGAAGACCACCTCATCCCGCGGTTCGAGAGTGAAGAGGTCAAGACAGGCATGTAAGAGAGCCCCGGCGACGACTGTGTCGGGACCACGATGTTCGCGTTTCGCTAACGCGCTGAGATGCCGAATCCCCACCTTCCAAAAACGGGTGATGTAACGGGGCACCCTGAAGCTTGTACTGGTGACAGTACAAGCTACTTATTCTGATAACAGAATAAGGCGGTGCCTCGTAACTTCACGTACACTCGTACGTGCAGAGGAAGACGGTAAGAAGAAGCGAGTACTTGGTTAGAGTAAAAAGTAGAACTGTATTTATAATAGTTAATGTCTGCAATAAATCACTATTTATCTTCATCTAACTATGTCTAAATACAAATGTGTAAATCAGTTATCTGCTCACCACTCATTGCGTGCGTCTGTCGTGGCGCGTCTTCGTTGGTTGATATAATGGCCTATATCAACCAATTAGGAACTACTTGGAAGTGCTACAGAATATTGTCCTTATGACAATATTCTGAGAATATAACTCTTATAGTTATATTCTATTAACAATTTCTTATAAATTGTTATGTAACGATTCACCCCGTTACATCACCCCCCCTTAACCATCAGTCACTTTAGTGACTGATTGACTAAATGGATACTCGTCCCAAATCATTTGGGACGGGGTTTGCACTTGTTGGTCCGCGTCCACTTTCCAACATCTCATCGCATGGTAAACAAGCCCATGCGATGCGCGAGCAAGGCCGCCGAGAGCGCGTCTGCACGTCTCTGTGCGGACGCCGAAGCAGAAACTACAGCAACTGATGTCCCATCGGTTGCTGAATCGACTCAGCCTGTATCACCTGGTGATGCAGGCGCTGGTCATGAAGACACTCGTGTCTTCACAGAGTACGAGCTCGGTGTCTCGTACTCTCCTGATACGGATGACGGATCCGTATCGACGGCAATTGAATCCAAGCCGCCTGCCAAGCGTGGCATGGACGATGCTTTGCGTCGCAGCATCTTTGGTTCATCTGATGAGTCAGATGAACCATCGCCGAAGCGAAGGCGCTCGAGGTCGCGAGACTCGGGCGCTAATAGTGGTGTCGTTTCTCCAATGGACACCACTTCACAGCGAGGTGCCAGTACTTCTGTCGGCACATCGCAGGAAGAGCGGGATCGCAATGTCTTGCGTCTCGCTCCCGAGAAGAAGGCATGGATGCCTCCTAAATCTGTCATGGATCACTTGTCGGCGACGACGAGTGATCGTTATCGAACACGATTGTTCGATTCGTCAAGGATCCATCACCTTGACCCCAGCGCGAAAGACTATCGCGCTGAACATGAGTTCTTCATCGATGCTTTCTTCAGACATCGATGGTACAGTGGGAATCACAAACGTGATGGTCCCTCACTACTTCAGGCGTGGAACGCCTACATCCATAATCTCGAGGATGTAGGTCGTGACGCTTGGAACGACAAACTTATCAAAGCTCGTGATAAGTTTGAAAAGCGAACCCCGACAGGTGCACGCTATAAGCTGCATCGTCTGTCAAGGGAGAAAGGATTACCCCTGCCTCTCTTGGGGAGACTCGTGCCCATGTTGTGTGAACAACTCTGCACGAGCACCTAAGGAGGCTTACCTCCCTACCAGCCCGTGGTGGCGCGTACGTGTCTCTACTGAGATGTACGAAGGGATTGACAACCTGAAATCCCTTTACGACCGTGCCGGGAAGACTTTCTCCGGCGGTCCTTCTGCGACACAGGATGTGTCGCGTCGTACTGCTCGACCAGACCCAGTACGTCAACCATCAATTGGGAGCGGGGCTCCCAAGAATCCCAGGACGGGGGATAGCCGCGCCACCGGACGAGGTAACTCGTCCGACGTCCGTTCACGTCGCGGTGGTTCAACAGCTGCTCAACTAGATAGCGCTGGCCACCGCGAGAGTCCTCTAATGGAGGTGGAGGAGGAGGAAAGACGCTCTCCACACGATCATGTGGATCGGTGTGTTCCCGAGAGCTTCTTTGATCGCGTAACGCAAGGGTTACGCGACGATCTCGAGCATGAGCGGAATAGGCGTCTCCAGATGGTGGACACTGCCTCGAAGCATCGAGCTGAGTTTGCCTTTGCTCAGCTTGAGAACGAGAGATCTCTGACATCTCTTCGTGACGAGCTAAGGGTAGCTCGTGGGATTGTTGATCGGTCTCGGGCTGAGATAACTGCTCTTCAGACCCTTGTTGATGCCCACCATCGGGAGCACAAGGCTCTCTGCGAGATGCTTGAGCGCAAGGGCGTTCTTCATCGGAAGAAGCAGCGTACTGATGGTACGGCTTAAGCCGACCAACGTAAAACGTGGGATGCGTTCGCATCTTACGTGGTAACTCGATCGTGTATGCATTGCCTAGGCGGTGCAATACACGAAATGGGCCAATGTACTTGGGTAGTAGTTTACTGCTACCCAAGTTAGTCACTACATGTTTTGGTAGATTAACCGTAGACAGTAGGACTAAGTCACCTTTATTAAATAAAAGAGTGTTTGCCCTTCCATTCTTGTCAGCGTTTTGCTTTTGCTTATCCACCGCTTCGGCGATGGAGTCTTGCACAAAACGGACTACCGTTTCACGAGCCAGTATGAACTCATCTGATGACTCGTTAGCTTCAGTGTGCTGTGAGCGCACTGCAGCGACAACAACCTTTTCTTCAGTGAGGGCTTCCGCACTCTCACTGGGATCATTGTCTTCAGTGAGGGCTTCCGCACTCTCACTGGCATCATCTTCTTCGATATCGATGTTATCGATATCGGCATCAAACGCAATGACTTCTTCGTCAGAGCGTGATGAGCGTGAACCAAATCGGTTTTTGCTCGCGCGAGTCCCTCCCCCCTTAAACCAGAGTTACACTCTAGTAAGGTGGGTACACGCGGATGGCGCAAGCCATTCACGTAAAACGGTGTATGTGTCGTGGACGCATGCACCGAGTTGTTGATGGCAAACTCTACCATCGGCAAAAACTCACTCCAACTCTTAAAGGAGTGTACGTATCCTCGAAGTATCTCTTCAAGGACACGATTGGCACGTTCCGTCTGACCATCTGACTCTGGATGATCAGATGTTGACATCTTCAAGCGCGTTCCGAGTGATTTGAACACGGAACGCCAGAAATCAGCAGTGAATCGTGGATCTCTGTCTGATACGAGTTCACGGGGCAACCCATGAAGTCGGAAGATGGTGTCAATAAAGACACAAGCACAGCCACTTGCCGTGATTGTCTCTGGTACAGCCACAAGGTGTACCATTTTGCTGAATCTGTCAACAAATACGAGAATACCCGTATTCCCGCGTGCGTCTTTGGGTAACCCGAAGACGAAATCCATTGAGATGGATTCCCAGCACTCAGCCGGAACCGGTAGAGGCTGTAAAGGTGCACGCAGTGAAGGACTTGACTTCACTCGTTGGCAGACTTCGCATGCGCGAACATACTTTCGCACAAACTGATACTGGCGGGGCCAGTAAAAGTCTCGACTTACCGTGAGATATGTTTTCTCTCGGCCACGATGTCCTCCTATAGGAGCATCGTGATACTCGAACATGATCCGCAAACGCAGATCAGTATCATCTGGAATGACAACACGTGGTGTGTCACCAGAAACGGCTGTATAGTACAGTAAACCGTTACGAGTAGTGTATCGATCTGATGCAGATCGATACGCAGACGACAATCGTTTCAACGATTCTCGAGATGGTTGGGAGAGATGTGACAACAACTTCACTATCTCACCATCTTGGGCGTATGCCCGCCTCACATCATCATACAACGTTGTAGATGGAACTGAGGACGTCATAACCGCAACAGTGACTGTCTCACTGTTGGGTTTCGCGACTGTTTCAAAGTCGGGACGACGTGAGAGTGCATCAGCGACGACATTAAGTCGTCCTGGTTTGTACTCGACCGTAAAGTTGTATTCTGCAAAGAATGACAACCACCGCGCCATTCGTTGTGAAAGGTGTGGGCTGTTCACTGCCGTGCGTAAGGACGCATGGTCAGTGTAAACAACGAAGGGTCTATCTCCTAATAGATAGACTCTGAACTTCGCGAGTGCATACTTCATGGCAAGGAGTTCCTTGTCATGCACTGGATAGTTCCGCTCAGCTGGTTGCAGCTGACGCGACTGATAGCAGACGACGCGTTCAACGCCTTCAAGGTCGTACTGCATTAATGCACAGCCGATTGCGAAATCGCTGGCATCACAGACCACATGAAATGGCCTGTCCTGATCGGCTATTGCTAGGACTGGGGATTGTATCAAGCTCTGCTTGATACCCTCAAAGGAGCGTTGACATTCAGCGTTCCATAACCACCTCTCGTTCTTTTCAACAAACGAGAGAGGTGTACAGTCATCTCGGCGTAATTGCGTGAATACTTATGCAAATACGCCGCTAGCCCAAGGAATTTTCGAAGACCTTTGACATCGACCGGCACGGGCCAGTCGGTGATCGCCTTGATCTTTTCGGGATCAGGACGTACACCGTTCTTACCAACGATGCACCCAAGAAGTGGTATTTCGCTTGCTGCAAATATACACTTCTTGAGGTTTGCATACAATTGATGCTTTCGCATGATTGTAAGAACTTGTCGGACGTGGTACTTGTGAACCTCAACGTCCGACTTTCCATCCATAGCTCGACTATGGATGAATACGTCATCGAAATAACTCGGCGCGAATTCTCGTACTGGCCTCAACAGATGTGATACACACCTGTTGAACGTGGCAGGGGCATTACTGAGCCCTTGTGGCATTACTAGCCATTCCCAGAGCATGCCGCTAGGCGTGCTAACTGCGGTATAGGGTATATCCCGTTCCCGCATTAGGATTTGATAGAAGCCATCCATCAAATCCATGGACGAAAAGATGGTACTCTTTGACATACCATCAATGATTACGTCCTTCCTCGGTATCGGCGTCTGAGCCGGTACCGTTGCAGCGTTCAATTTGTTAAACGCGTGCACTATCCGCCACCCTCCTGTTGCTTTTCGCACACAGAAGGTCGGAGAGCTATGTGGGGAAGTTGATTCCCTCACATGGCCCGCTGCTAAACGATCGGCAAAGAACTTGTCGATCGCAAGTACTTGTTCACGAGGCAGTGGCCACTGCTTCATGACACAGTACTTCGAGCCTGGTTTAAGCTCGACTTCGTGTCGAATACCTTTATCCTTCGGTAATTCGCACGGAACAGTTTCAGGGAATACATCCTTGAATTCAACCAAATCTTCATAGAGAGGATTTTCCTTGAGCGATTCCCATGATTGGGACTCATATCGCTCAATTCGTGTCTTTTCATCTAGGACACTCTCGTCCATAGATGAACTACTGAGAACTCTCTCGTTCTCAGTAAACACTGTTGCTGACCTTATGTCGGTTACATACTCGTCTTCAGCGACGAGTATGCAGATCTGCTTGACTTTGCCACTACGCAGATCACGCAAGAATCTTTTATGTTCGAGCGTTGGCAACTGAGTGATCTCCGAAGTTAACTTCGGAGGCGCAATCAGATCAAGTGTATAAGCGCCTACACATGATCCGTTATTGACTATGACATTCAATGTCTCTGTCATTTCCTGGGGACTTATTCCCTCAGGCTTCGAAGGACTTATTCCTTCGTCTTCCCGGGGACTTATTCCCGCGGGTTTCGGGGAACTTATTTCCGCCGTATTTGTAATCTTGGGACTTATTCCCTTTACTTCCTCTAGCTGGGGTTGCGCAACCACAGCGAGATCCTCTACGAAAGACTCTCCAGTCGATCTAGGATTATCGTTTCGCTTAACCTGAGCGATCGATTGTTTCTCTTCTAGATGTTCCCCTCTAGGGATACATCTTTGTCCCAGTCCACCCGACTTATTCGAGTGGTGGACCTTCGGCGCAGCCTGTGTTTCCTCACAGCCGCCGGAACTTTGCTCCGAAGTGTAACCGTTTGGTACACTAAGGTTTTGTGCAGTCGTACTAACGACCGTACCACAAGTGAGGCCATCGCACTCACTCGTAGTACATCCACACGCTTGTGGACGCTTCCAAAACGTTCATCAGATGGCCATCTGATGAACAAGCGGCAGGCATCGTTACTGTCCGATGTTGCCAGTTTACCCGTGGTTCGTACCTTCTGAGCCACGGTATTCCAAGGATGACATCAAATTTGTCATCCAAATCCAATACGATAAAGTCATCGTCGTATTGGGTATCTTCTAGCGTATAGTGAATCTTCACTATACGCTTCATGACGGTTACGGATGCGCCTGTCGCAAGACGTACCGTCATCCTCGTAGGAGGTGTGTCACATTCACTGAATTTAAAGTGACCATCTTCTAGCGATTGGCGTCGCACAAAATTGTTGGACGCCCCACAATCGACTAGAGCTCGAAGGGACAACTTATTCGTCACTTCGAGTTTCAAGGTAATGAGTGAGATCTCATTACCTAGAGCAGCAACGCACAATGTCTGTGTGTTGGGAGCAACCTTCATCAAGAGGCCTACAAATTCTCTTGACGTTGCTGGATCAGCAGGGTGCTCCGCACCTACTGATCCTGTCCGTTTTTTGACGGTCCATCCCGTTGTTGCGTCTTTGCACCAACTGCGGACCCTCGTCCCTGCCCCCTTTCTCATGGGTGGACGGTCACTACGCCCAGTGTCGCGAGACACTGGACGAGGGGCACTACACTCGTAAGCGTAGTGTCCTGTCTTTTGACATCTGTTGCATCTCTGCAACTTCTTGTAGCCTGTAGAGCGAGCCTTCTCGCTCTCTACATAACAGAGTTCCATCGGCTCTGGACCTCCGTTGTCATATCGTCTCGGTTGACGATATGATGTCGAGCTGGCGCGAGCCTGTCTCAGACTGAAGTCTTCCTGCTCCGCAATTGAAATGGCTTGTTCTAGTGAATCTAGTTCAAGCCGGAACAGGTGAGTCTTGACGGGACCATCCGCAAGACCCTGCATGAACACCGAAACCAACGTGTGTTCATCCACCGGATTGGAACTTATACAACTCGTGAGATGTCGTATATGTTGAGCGTAAGCGTGCACATCACGCTTACCCTGCTTGAGCTTCAAGAGTTCGGTTCGAGCTCTGAACTCAGCTCTAGGCGGTTCAAACGTTTGTCTGAGCCGCGACTTGAAGACTTCCAACGACCCAAACGCATATGGGTCGTGCAGCTTGAGCCCCAGTGCCCAAGTCTTGGCACGTCCTGCCAGATTTGACTGGGCAAATGCAACTTGCATATCCCCGTCGTCGATGCGACGCGCCCTTATGGCGTCATCCACCTCGACGAACCATCTCAAGAGGGAGTCTTCTTCGACCCCCCTATACTTTGAGATGTCAATCTTCAAAGTCTCGGGCCGACGCGAGTGCATCGACCCGCCAGCAGCAGCCTGCTGCTGTCTCAACAGTTCAAACTGTTGAGCACCTTGTTCTCTCAACAACTCTGCTTGTTGAGAACCTTGTTGGTGAAGCAAGGCTACTTTCTCGCGTTCTGCGTCAAGTTCATTTTGAATGAACTTGGCGATAGTAGCATGTTGGGCATCTCTATTGAGAGCCTCTAGCATGACGCTAACAGCATGGATGCCCATGGTCGAACCCATTCGTTCAACCGCATCCCATTCGACATCGCTCAAATGGGAGTAGCCGTCACGCGTAGCGTGAAAGCTTTGGTCATCTTCATCATCCAACATATTCATGTTGGATGTGAACGCGGTCCTTGGACGGACTACGAAGTGCTACCAGGTGTAACGGGGCACCCTGAAGCTTGTACTGGTGACAGTACAAGCTACTTATTCTGATAACAGAATAAGGCGGTGCCTCGTAACTTCACGTACACTCGTACGTGCAGAGGAAGACGGTAAGAAGAAGCGAGTACTCGGTTAGAGTAAAAAGTAGAACTGTATTTATAATAGTTAATGTCTGCAATAAATCACTATTTATCTTCATCTAACTATGTCTAAATACAAATGTGTAAATCAGTTATCTGCTCACCACTCATTGCGTGCGTCTGTCGTGGCGCGTCTTCGTTGGTTGATATAATGGCCTATATCAACCAATTAGGAACTACTTGGAAGTGCTACAGAATATTGTCCTTATGACAATATTCTGAGAATATAACTCTTATAGTTATATTCTATTAACAATTTCTTATAAATTGTTATGTAACGATTCACCCCGTTACAGGTGACGCTGTGAATAACCGTCGTCCGCACACCTTGAAATACTGCGTCGTTTCGTTCACTCCATAAGTGAGTTAAACAGACGCTACACATAATAAACCATATGCGATTCCAAACCATGACCCCTGCTTCCAAGTCGTCTTGTAAATGTTCATGTAGGCGTTGTCGCTGCCTTGCCGGTAATGCAGGAGCCTGACGATTCACACTGCCAAAATACCAGGTCTCATCAACAGACCTCACATCTCGGAGACCCGTCCAGTGACAGATAAGTCGCCTCCAGCAGGCGCGCGCCTTTGGACATTCCCAAAAGATGTGAGCCGACGTTTCTTTACGCCCCCAACACTCCATCAGCGCTCGACAGCTGTTGTCAGCGCGACGACCATCATGGTAGAGGTTAAGTTGATTAGTGGCGATTCTGTAGCAAGTCCAGACTTGAAAATCCGAAAGGCCATTAGTATGGTTCCAAACTTGAGACGGGCGTTGATGAGCTGCTGCACGCAACCAGCCATCCTTGCTGATGACTTGTTTCAACCGTTGGATCAGCCCTTTCAAAGGGACAGCAAGCAGTCGTTTGTGAAGTCTGAACGCTAGCCGGGCAATTGTCGCCCTTATCGAAACGTTCGCCACCGTGTTGGCCACAGCCCAGGGAAATCGATGATGATCAGGATGTGAATAAATCACGACACCATGTAACCGCAGTCGGCTCATCCAAATGTCCCTCTCAGCGACAGTTTCAGTAACCAACTCAGGTAATGATGTGGTAAAAAACCATCTAAATCCGTCGGCACTTTGCCGCAATTTGACGTGCTCACACCCGTTATCCGCAGACTCCCGTCTATTCCCGACGACGTAACCATGTCGCACCGTCGAAAAGTCAAAATGATACCGAAACGGAGGCGCATGACGAAGTGCTAACTTCGGTTCCAGCGCTAGTTCCGACCCAATTCGAATAGAAGGCGAAGCGAGCAAGATAGATGTAGCCCAGCGCCTTAACTTCGGCTGATAGTGATGCTTAGAGGCAGGTCCAGCCAGTGAGATACTGAAGATAAACTCTTTCGGTCCGGTTCTGCGAATGTGCAAGTCCGAGAAGGAGCAGTCAGCTATCCGGTCGTATTTGGAGCGTACAAGCTGCCGACCCTGCCCGTCGCGAATCCTCGAATTGTTACTCCATCCGAGCGTTCCCCAAAAGCGGTGCAGTGCCAGTACTTGGACGTCGTTGGATGCTAACGCTTCCGGAAAAGGGTGATGGTAAGATAATACCCATTCATCTTCTTCCCACCAGCTACTGGCTCCTTCGAGCAAAGTCGAATAGTGCATGCGGACGCGATCTCGAATAAAATTCAATTGCTCCGTCGTGGGTTGCAAAAGCTTGTCCATGTCTTGTATCCATGCAGGTTTCGACGGCTTCGAAGTGCAAGAAGATGTTATCCCTGGTATACCCCTTCCATACAGGACCAGGGATGAGGAAGTTGGCCTACCTTGATAAGCCCAGTGACACCAAGAGGCAAAATACTTGTCCTGGGCTTGCGTTAGCCACCACAGTGCATGTTTCGTGTGCTGAGTTTTGATTGCGACCTCGAATGAAGCCAGCCCTACTCCGCCTGCGTGTTTCGGAGTGAATAGCAGTCCTGGGTTGATCTTGTGCCTGCTAGCTTCTGTCGAAGTGGCATGAGCCCACAAAAATTGTTTGTACAAATTTTGGATTGCCTGCCTCGCCCATTCTGGGATGTCGATTACCGCTGCCGTGAATAAAATGGATGGAAGAATGATGGAGTTTAGAATCAACACTCGATTCTCCACACTAGTCGCGACCCTGGAAGCTGTGATTAGCCGCCGTTGAAGCCTTCAAATCCTTAAAGCCCAATTGCGGTTATGTAAGGCACCAAGACCAACCTCATAGCCCAGGTACCTTACTGTTTCTGTCTGGTGTAGCACCGAAATGCCAACCATTTCTCGCATCTGCACCCCTGTGTTCAAGAGTATGATTTTGCTCTTTGACGGCTGGGCTTCCAGTCCAGATAAGGCTCCAAAGCGTGATACGAGGGCAAGAGCCGGTGCCAGCTGATTCGCTTGCTCGAGAAAAATCGTGGAGTCGTCGACAAACGCTGAGAAGCGGTGCGTTTGAGTACAGCTACCTGGGACCGGGAGTCCTTTCAAGGTGGGAGACTGCTGAACTGCAATTCCCAACAACTCGACCACCACGAGGAATAGCAAAGGGGCCAGAGGGCAGCCTTGCCGAATTCCTGACACGACGGATATTGGACTGGACCGTTCCCCATTTACGAGGAATGTAGCCGTAGTCCCTTCATGCAGCCGAGTAATTAGCTGAATATATCGTTCCTCAAATCCAAATTGTCGAAGCGCCTCGTAAAGAAAGCTTCTGTCCACAGTATCATATGCCTTTCGAAAATCAAGTAGAAGGATGACCCTGCTATTAATCGCGTCGAGAGTTGCATCAGAAGAAGCCGTTGCCAGTTGGGAGAGCATCATCAGGACAGACTTCAACATCTGCCTGCCATGGACGAAACCTTGTTGTGAGTCACCAATGACTTTAGGTAATACAACTTGTAACCTAGTCGCCAGCACCTTCACGAAGATTTTGTAACTGGTCTGAAGTAGCGAAATAGGCCTGTAATCCATAGCATCAGCTGAGTCACCTTTCTTCCGCAAAGGTATGATCAGCGCTTCTAGAAAAGAAGGTGGAGGATCTGAGCCCGCCAATATTTGATTACTGATTTGCACCAGGGCTGGAACCAAAAGCGCCGGCATATCCTCGTAACAGTCGTTGTTATAACCATCAGATCCAGCCGATTTATGTCGACCAGGGCCCGTGATGGCTGTAATAACCTCATTTTCAGTGAAATGGGCCATAAAAGACCGATTCTCGCTCGAAGAAAGTACCCGTTGGGTGGGAACTTGAACAAAATGACGAATGGTGGCTGGTAAGGCTTCCAAAGGGGTACTGCGATGTACCACGCCTAAAACAGTGGACCACTCTGAGGCAAATTTATCTGCCGTCGACATGGTGCGACTAAAAACCGGTCAATGAAGCTGCTTAATACCGGTGACGGTTTGCTCGCGCTCCCAGTCGGCTATTTTGCGATAAAAAAACCGTATCCGATCTGTTGTCCTGACCAGCTGTTGACCAAGTCGCACAATATGTTCCTGACGCAATTCTTCCATCTTACAGGATATCCATTGTGGCCTGGTAAGCAAGTGCTGCTGTGCCCGTCTCTGAATGTTATGGAGAAATCGAGCCCTGCGCTGCTTCACCCTCTTACTGACACGCCGAGTACAGCGTATACACTCAGCAACGTCTAGATCCCAAGTCCTGGTAGATAAAGCTTGAACAACAGCCATGCCATCCATTTCCTCGACAAGTTCGGCTATAATGTTATCGGGGTTCGATGCTGTGATGGGATACGCCACCCTATCACGTCGAATATGAGGGCGACGCCTGGTTGGTTTTCGCAGGTGTAGAACTATCTCCTGATGGTCCGACAAATTTGAAGGTAAGCGCGTCTCAACCCACAGGACGCGGTCCACCCAGCCTTCCGGTACATAAACACCGTCAATACGACTAGCCCTATCCCCTTCCCAGTATGTGAAATGGTCCACAAAGGATCCATTGAGTCGTCGTCTGCGTGTTCGCGAAGCCATCTTGCATCAGCCAATCCTATCGCAGACACAACGTGGTCCAGGGCCGGGCTTTCTGACCGGTTGGATCGATGCTTCCCAAATCGATCCAGAAGGGGACTCTGGACGCAAATAAAGTCGCCGACGATCATCGTATTTGAGGGGTCTAGATTTAAGGTCAACAGGGAGGTAAAAAAAAGCCTCTCGCTCGGACCGCAAAGTAGGAGCGTACACATTCACAAGGACTTCCCCCCCATAGATACAGCGATCGCGCGTGTGGTCCAGAAATCCGGTAACCAGGCCGTCGTATGTGTTGCAATTTGTGGAGTGAGTAGAATAGCAACTCCTGCCCGTTTTGACGAGCCAATACTCCAGTACGATAGGACAGGGGAAGTCGGGTTAAGATGCTGACCCCATAGTCGAGCCCACTGATATCGCAGCCGAGTTGCCTCTGCTTCTGTGTGCACATGTGTGTCCTGGATGCACCAAGCCCATGTTCTGTGTCGATTTGTCTTAGCCGGCCAACCCGACATCCAACTGTCGCGAACGCTGTCCTTGAATCCTCGTACATTTTGAGATATGTAAAGCATGTCACCCATCCAGCCTTGGAGTCGAGTTGTAACTGGCTCAAAAATATTGGTCCATTCCTTAAGCAAGAGATGGCGGCCATAGGCGTCCGATGCGTCGAGTGATGCACCACCGGGCCTGAAGGCCTCGTTGCTCCGTAAGCTGCCCTTAGTACTCAAGTAGAAACTGCTGCTCTGCAGGAGCCAACGCAGTATTAAAGAAGCAAACCAGCTTGCGCCAATCCACCTTGGATCCCCCTTCAGCGTAATACACCTCCTTGTAGTGACTGTTGTTCCGAAGTAAGCGTAGGTGCC